GATTTGTTTGAATTCCATGCTTATAGACCGGTGCATAACGACCATTTTTTTTGAAACGATTTTCTCCCGTCTGCCATTAAGGGTGGTTATTCTTTATGCAAAAAGAAGTGGAATGGCTGAAATTTCAAAGAGCCCCGTGTGTGACAATACAATGATATGCTTATTTTAAAATGTATTGAAAAGTGGAGATTTGGATCAATATTATCCCGTCTGCCCCACATTTTGAAGGTAATTTAAACAAAAATGAGTACAAGAAAGCTAAGCGGCGGAAACCCTAGGTTAGTATAAAGTGTCATATTACTAATTTCAAAATGTCGACAAAATCCGACATGTGGATCAACGACCTCCCGTCTGCCAAATTAAATTTATGTTGCATTTACGATTTAGAGATCAATGAGCAAATGGCAGAAAATCTCGGTTGTTATAATAATATTTAACAATTTTTTGTTGTATCAAAATGCTGTGATGTTGAAACAATTTTCTCCCGCCTAAAACATGTTTTGTTACAATGGATTTTAGATAAATAATGTACCTTTGCAACGGCAGAAAAATTGAAGTGGTACAGACATTTATTTTTAATTTTTCAAAATGTCAAAAAATTTCAAATTTGAGATCAATTATTTCCCGTCTGCCATTAATGTATATTAAATAAATTGCTACCAAAAGCTTAAGTTTTGACTGGCAGAAATTGCAGAGTGGTACAAGTCCTAATAAACAATTAAATTGCGACAAAAATTGTTTATATGATGAACGTTTTTAACCCGTCTGCCATTTGGTTAAGTGAAATGTAGTAATGAGAATATGCATATTTTCAATATGGCAGAAACCGTAATAAGTTACATAAGTTGCACATATGGTTATTAAATTGCAATTTTTTCCCGTCTGCCAACTTAATTGAGTAGAGTTACTATCAAAATAACTGAATACCTATCAAAAAGCAAAATGACTGCTTATATACAGGGTCTGCTCCTTATAATTAGTGCTGCTCCTACAACTTAAACAAAAGAAAATACAGAAAAAAGTTAAATATAAAAGTTGTAGGGTTTTATCTCTATTATCTTTCGTATATGTCAAAATAGGCAAATGACAGGTGTCAACTGTCATAATGACAGCACTTGCATTTTTTTAAATGGAACAACCTGTATATTTTTAGCTACGATAATAGATTTTTTTCTTCTGATTTCAAATATACCATATATATTGATATTTGGTTCAGCTGTTTTTACGCTATTCAAATTTAAACATGCATTTACATTTCCCCTTAATTAGGTCTGTTCCCGGTTTCTAATATCAATGATGACGCTTGCTCAATGCAATTTTAAAATGAAATAGCGCAAAAACAGCTGAACCAAATATCAACATATATGGTACATTTGAAATCAGAAGAAAAAAATCTATCATTCTAGCTAAAAATATACAGGGTGTTCTATTTAAAAAAAATGCAAGTGCTGTCATTATGACAGTTGGCACCTGTCATTTGCCCATTTTGACATGTGCAAAATATAATAGAAATAAAACCCTACAACTTTTGAATTTAACTTTTTTTTGTATTTTCTTTTGTTTAAGTTGTAGGAGCCGCACTAATTATGAGAAACAGACCCTGTACAAATGTTTGAAATCTCACATACAAGTTATAATTTTTTTTCAATGCCTATCACACATTATAGATTTTCCTGATGAGGATGAAAGTGAAGAAGAAATTAATGAAAACGAAGATTTTGGTGATTTATCAAATTTGGATGACGGCAATAATGATGATGATAATGGAGAAGGCGACATCAGTTGTGATGGAAGTGACTCCGAACGGATATATGACAATGACAACGATAATGATGATGCTGATGATAATTATACTGCAGATGCTGTTTTTGATAATGTTGATGATTAAAACATTTTTTTCCTAAGGATACAATTTTTTTATTATTCTGCCTTATCATATTTAGGTGTCTTGAGAGCAACTTTAATTTTAATCAACCGGTTGTCAGACGGGAGAAAACTGTTTGGCCACATAAACATTTTTCGCAATTTAACAATAGTTGTGCAACGTATGTAGCTCATTGGGGTTTCTGTCATATTGATAATGTGCATATTCTCATAACTAAATTTCACTGAAACAAACGGCAGACGGGTTAAAAACGTTCATGATATGAACAATTTTTGTTCCAATTTTGTTGATCAATTATAAGAACTTGTATCAGCCTGCAATTTCTGCCAGTCGAAATTTAAGCTTTTAGTAGTAGCTAATTTAATATAAATTACTGGCAGACGGGAAAAAATTGATCTCAACTTTGAAAATTTTTGACATTTTTATTGTTTCTGCCAATTGTTAATATACCTTGGATACATCTGCCAATACATTTCTTGGATTTTACTTTGCATGTCAAACTCATCTTCCAAATGGCAGATGGGAGAAAATTGTTTCAACATCTCAGCATTTTGATACAACTTCAAAAATTGTTAGATATTATTATAACAACCGAGATTTTCTGCCATTTCCTCATTGATCTCTAAATCGTAGATGCAACATAAATTTAATTTGGCAGACGGGAGGTCGTTGATCCACATGTCCGATTTTGGCGACATTTTGAAATTAGTAATATGACACTTTATACTAACCTAGGGTTTCCGCCGCTTAGCATCCTTGTACTCATTTTTGTTTAAATTACCTTCACAATGTGTGGCAGATGGGATAATATTGATCCAAATCTCTACTTTTCAATACATTTTCAAATTAGCATATCATTGTATTGTCACACGCGGGGCTCTTTGAAATTTCAGCCCTTCCACTTCTTATTGCATAAAGAAGAACCATCCTTAATGGCAGACGGGAGAAAATCGTTTTAAAAAAAAGGTCGTTATGCACCGGTCTATTATTATCCGTTCACAATCCGATGTCCACAGGTAGGTACAGGTAAAATCACCTTTCAATGCTATTTGCACCTGTGGACATCGGATTGTGAACAGGATATATATTTACAAAGCATATTGATACCGTCATCACATCACCCACCAATGCCATGCGCCTCCGTGAATTTTTACTTTCAAGTATGTTTATCGTGCTCTTCTTGCTATGCCAGTTGCAAGGCCAGTTGTGTGTTGTGTATGGTAACCATATTGTGCAGTTCACAAAGAAAATTTCATAGAAGAATTCCATTTAAATTATGGGGAGATAGGTTGTAACATGATGGGGAATTTTTTAAACCTTATATCTCTAGAAATTAGAAGACGATTTTTCGATATATCAATTTTTTATAAAGTTATTAACAACTGATATATTAACTCTCCGGATCTGCTTGCAGCCGTTGTGCTTTATCTTCGTCCAATACATTCTAGAAAAGGTGTTCTTTTTAATGTTGATTTTCATAGAACCCATTATGGTCTTAACCTTAGGTCTTAACACCCCTTCAATCCTTGAAGGGGTGTTACTTCAATAGGATGGGTAGATTGATGATTAGTTAGCCAGTAGTGATATAGATATATTTTGTGACAATCTTAACAGTTTTATTTGTAAAGTGAATAAGTGAAAAATGCTCGGAAAAATGTTTTATACTAATAATTGGTCAATCCGCTATCTCTCAATGATTTTTAAATTGTATGTGCTTATTCTTGTTTCATTTTTGTTGTTATCAGCATTTTGTTTTTTCTTTTTCTTTAGTCTCATTCTATTTTAGGCAGCATAACATTATTTAATGCTTGTTGCTATTGTAAATGCTAGATGCGTTAAGAAAAATTTTGGTTTGTCTTTGTCCACCTTGTCCTATTCTCCCTGTTTTCCTATCTGTCGTTCTTATTATGCTTGTTTTTCTTTTCCTTCTTCCCGTTCTCAAGTTTCAACAAATTAAGCATCTGGTTCATATGAATCTTTGATGTTGGCGGCCTGTTGTCTCATTTTCACCATGAAGGAAAATTTCTTCAGTATCTTCACTCACTTATACCACTTCTGTTCTCACCACCAATTATATGCGAATTTGTAGATGAATGAGACTACTCTTCCAAAATTAATTTATTTTTATTCAAGGCAGAACACAAAAATTGAATCGAAGCAGGCACTATTACAACACTTCTTTTCACTACAAGAGTCAAGCTTAACTCTTAAATATATAGTCACAAAACTACACTTTATTTTTTCCCAAGATAGATTTTGGCATTGTCAACTTTGAAACATAAACAATACCGCTAATGCCGCTTATTGGCCGCTATTGTGAAACTGATGTCAACCTGCAGAAACACCTCATTTTGCGACCAATCAGGGTCAAGCGTTATTGTTTATGTTTCAAAGTTTTCAATGTCAAAATCTATCTTGGGAAAAAATGAAGTGTAGATGACAACTCACGTTCAATTCACAACTGATTCATGACACACTGACGTCTTAATCACAGATTCTTTCATATGTAGATAAGTTATTTGCTTCCTTTCATTGGTCAAATTTTAATTGGGAATTTTCTAATGGTTCATATGAATAAAACACAAGCAAATGCTTTTACTTATGTTTTTTGAGATAAACATATTCATAAAGCCAATACTACATTTTATTCATATGACTGGTTGTATCTCATTTTTGTACTTAATTTTTTGATTGCAAATATTACTGGATTACCAACCTTCACATGAAGTTTCTGTGTCTACTAGAATCTCGGAGTTTTAATTTCTTATTCCTAAAATTCCTACACCAAATTCGAACCACCTCAATACTTACTTTTTTGTTTTAAATGCGCCTACAATAAACTGCGTGGTTATCTATTGCATTACCAATATTTGTTTTATTCTACTGACATGCTATGAAGAAAAAAATAAAAGCAATAGTAGGTACTAGCTCTTTCCAGGTAACTGTTTTTTTCATTGCTAGTCCGCTAGAGCCCCTTAATAAAAGATTTTCTCAAGGTTTTTAATCCAATCGCGCTTCTAATAGGATCAAATAATCTCTGCACATCTAAACTTGAATATAAACCTCGATATAAACATTCTGTGAAATTTGAAAGTATATATTGTTTTTTTTACAGTTGAAAGAGATCCAAAAAAAAGAAGAGTCAAACCTGTTGAGCAGGCGTGTGTCTTAGATTTTGATGAAGAGAGCAGTGACGATTCAGATTTCAGAATCGAAGATCATCCAGAAATTAGTGATGATGAGGAGGACTCCAACACTGATGAAAATAAAGGTAAGAACACTTATTGTTTAGATTTTAGTAAGCACATTCAAATTTTTCTTAGGAAAACAATCTACCAGTGAATCTGAAAGCGAAGATTCAGAACTGGATAAATTAGATGAACTCAGAAATTTAAATCCACCTGATACCAATGGGTTTTCTTCTATTGCAAATGTGATCCAAAAAGCTGGTTTGCAATCTCAACTAAATGTAAGTACCTAAGTAACTGCTCACCCTTTGAGAATGGTCAAAAAATAATTGGTTTTTAGTTTAATGAAAAAGATGCAGACCTTTTCATTTGCTGTGGATGCTTGGGAGACCATAGCGATGGTGTCAATGAAATTGTTGAATGTGACAGTTGTGGAGCCACTGTTCATGAGGGCTGCTATGGCATTTCCGACTCAAACAGTCTAGCAAGGTGGGTATTTAACAATTTTAGGTTAGTCTCTCAAGACTCAAGTTTATTATTTCTTATCACTGATCTTGACTTCGATTGGCAGCAAACTTAGTTTTAGATCATATTTGAATAGGTAATGCTTTTTGGTAACTTTTTAGATTTACCATTAACAAACTGCTTTAATATGACGGGTATCTGTTGGATATAGCTTTAAGCATTTATCTTTAAATTCTTGCTATTTGTATTGATTCCACATGTAGGTACAAATGGCTTATTGTTAGTTTCATTGTAGTGACTTCTCTTTATATACTTTATCTAGGAGAGAAATGTGTAGATTTGATCAATTGAATATTTTCAGTACCAATTCACTGGCACCAACAGCACCTTGGTTCTGTGAAGCTTGCAGGGCAGGAGTGAAAGATCCTGTCTGTGAATTGTGCCCAAACTCAGGTGGCATTTTCAAGGAAACTGATGTCGGAAAATGGGTTCATCTAATTTGCGCTTTGTACGCACCAGGTAAGATTTAATTTTCTAGATTTTATGCAAAATGACAATTGAATTATTATTTTGTTAGGGGTTGCTTTTGGAGAAGTCGACAAACTAACTAGTGTAACCCTTTTCGAAATGCCCTATAGCAAATGGGGAACAAAAACTTGCAGTCTTTGCGCTGATGAGAGATTCTCTAGAACTGGCGTTTGTATTGGTTGTGATGCTGGAATGTGCAAGACATATTTTCATGTCACTTGGTAAGTAAAATTATTGTTAAAATCTAGTTTATTAATACTAATATTTTTTTTTTAGTGCACAAAGGGAAGGATTTCTCTCAGAAGCTCACACAGAAGAAGTGGATCAGGCCGATCCGTTTTATGCACACTGCAAGCTCCATTCTGATAAAACTCTTGTGAAAAAACGTAAGAGGAACTATTTGGCTTGGCAGCTTCGAATGCAGTATAGAAAAATGAAATTTGATAAGGAGGGTCATATGGAGTCTCCAGAACAAGTGAGGATACAAAGGAAACTTGCAAAGCAACGACTTCATTATTTGGAATACAAAAAAAGGAAGGCATCTCCATGGGGTAAGTTTCCAAGGAAAAATATATACAGGGTGTTCATTTTAAAACTTACCACCCCTTTTATCTCGGAGTTGAAAAATTTTCGAAAAAATTCCTGAAACACATCAATTATAATTTGAAGGGGGATGAGTTTTTATGCAAAATTCAACTCCCCGGCCCCCAGAGCCACCTCCCAAGAAAATCGTAAATGGAAAGGGGGGTTAAGTGATACATCATTTTGGAAGGTTTTTAATTCCATACATTCTGGAACTAAATTTTAATCCCTAAGTTCAACTGTTTTGGAAATATTGACCGTTGAATATTGACTTTTCTGCAGTTTTAAAGGGGTAATTTTAGAGGAAAACGGATCTAACATTCTTATCTTGAATTTTTATAAACTATTATTCGACAGCAATTTTGAATCCAAGATAAGAATTACTACGTTTTCATGGAGTTTTGAAATCGTTTTGAATAAGGTTTTGGTATTGAAAAAGCCATGAAAACAGGTACTGAAATCGATTTCAGTTTCAAGGTCGTTAGACCTTTTTTTGGGATCGTATCGAAATTTAAATTCAGAAGCTTGAATTTTAATTCTAATTTTTCCTCTACATGAAAACGGGAAAGAGGATTGGATTCAAAACGATTTTAAAACTCCATGAAAACGTAGTGAATGTAAGATCGGTTTTCCTCAAAAATTACCCGTTTAGGTTTTACAGCCTGTCAAAATAGCAAAAAAGTCAATTTTCAACTGTCAGTATTTCCAAAACAGTTGAACTTAGGGATTAAAATTTAGTACCAAAATGTATGGACTTAAAAGCCCTCCAAAATGATGAATCACTTGACCCCCCTTCCCATTTAAGATTTTCTAGGTGGTGGCTCTAAGGGCTGGGGGGTTGAAAGAGGGGCGGTGAATTTTGCATAAAAACTCATCCCCCCTCAAATTATAGTTGACGTGTTTCAGGATTTTCGTGCAGAAAATGAGACTTTTTCCAAAAAAAATAAATCTCTCTCATTCTCCCTCTACGCTAATACATTTGTTCATCTTGAATAGGCAAAAAAGGTAAACATGCTAGTCATTACTTTCACTTTCGCTTGCCTATTCAAGATAAGAATTATAATAGTATATTACATACCGAGTAGGGAAGTGTTTCATTACTGTCGAGAGATTTATATAGTCTCGAGACATAAATGAAAACTTTCCTCCGAGGTTTGTATACTATTTTATTTGCAAGCCCGCCATTAATTATGATTAGTCATTTAATTTTTTTAATATTAAAAAAATAAAACAAACATGCCAAAATGTGTCATTCACTGTTTTGACGTTTTTACCTGGCATGTTCTCATTGTTGCCAGCAAAGGTAAATAAATTACAGTGAGGGAAAAAAAGGTCAGTAATGTCAAGATTACATATATGGTTGCAAATAAAATACTATTACTAATACCTACCAGTGATGAGGAGTACCGAGAAAATTTAATTAAAAGTAAACAATTATGCAGAATTTACTAGCTATTTGATTGTTAACATTTATACAAAATAGGTAAAATTATGCCAGCAAATATATGTTAAAATTCAGGATTGTTTATTTATCTTATCATGGAAAATAGGTTAGGTTATACAGACAGATTGAACACATCTGATCTGCGCATGCACGCTCCAGCTGCCCACTCCACAAACTCGGGGTTTATCGAGCTCGCTCTGAGCGCTCAAAATATGTCAAACCAAACACAATCAAGGGTTGTCGGAGCTTCAAAAATAACGGAAAAGAGACAAAAGTGCAAGCTCTGAGTGCACCGAGCGTGAACCCAAACGCGCCCTCAAACGTTAGGAACATTGATATAGACCTATTTTTTTTTTACCTTGACTGCGCGCGCAACTCGTAGGTTGCAGGTGAGCTTCCAATGAGAAGTGAGTTTGTTACATGCTTGCGTCATATTCTTATTCAGGGGCCAGTTCAGAATAAATCGTTCCTTCTTTCTTTGTAACGTGTAATTCGACAAAAAGCAAACTAATACTTAAGGTCGCAACAATGATGACAATGCAGTGCTCTATTGGTTGATTTTTCGAAACTTGTTTTAAGGTCTTTAAAAAAACGTCACATCAGAATTGGCTCAAATTTGGCATAAACATTATTTGATCGATTATCTACAATTCCTTATTTCGGTTTTTCGATATTTTGCCTTTTTGTTTAAATTCAAAAATCATATTCGCGACCACCAAAACAACTAAATGTGTTGGTGGTTGCATATTTGCATGTTTATCAAGATTGGATCCGTGAAAAGCATACTTTATTGATAACCACGCAAAACTAAAAAAAAGCTATTTGTAGATAAAGATATCAAATAATGTTTATGCCAAAGGATTTTGAAAATTAATGCGGATTTTTTTAGAATACACTAAAACGAATTTTGAAGGTGAAAATTGGTGAAAATTTGACAGTTACAGTTCAAGCAATTTCGAGTAGACGGCGCCACGGCAAAAAAGCTACATTGAGAGCATCATAACTGACCATTCTTTTGCAATTTCATGGTGCATTGTTGCCGGATGAAACATTTATCAGAATAAACGTGCAAACGATGTTAACATACACTTTAAAGCTCTTCTTTTGTCTGATCTAAGGCATTGTGAAACACTTGACATTATATCACTTCTTCAATTTTATAATGTTCTATTTGTATTATCTGCATTTGTTCTGCAACAATAGAATCTGGCTTCATTGCAGCCACGAATTGCGCGCGCATGTCATCTTTTATCACTTCCTAACTTGTATTTATTACAATTAGGGATGGCAATTTTTAGAAAAACATCGATGCAGCGACATCGATAGACATCGGAAAGCAATGCATCGATTTATAAGATACATCGAGTTGAAAACATCGATGTGTTCGATATTTTCAAAAAATGCGATATTTTATTTATTATTTCTTTTTAGTTATTGAAAATAAAATTATAATTGAGTCAATTAGATAAGTTGAATTAAAAAATAAGAAAGGCATAACAACATAATATAAGCAAAAGCCCGCGGAATCATAACCTGTGGTGCAAACAGCCTACGTCACGCTGTCAACAGCGTTAAGTCAACTGTCAATTTTTCATCAAAACTGTCAAGAATAGCGATTTTCATTGGGTAGAACCCAAGGGTAGAACCTAGTGCCGACGGCCGAGTAACAAAAAATGTATTTAAAAAAATCAGACATTTTAAAGGTTAAACATCGATAGTATCGATGTCGATGTATCGATATATCGGCTTGTGTTGCATCGATGTAAAAGTATCGATGTTTATTGTTCGATATATCGATGTTTTGAAAAAATCGATGTATCGTTGCCATCCCTAATTACAATTAAGCTCTCTTTTTCTATTTATGTGAGACAAGTCAATTAACAACAAAAAAACTTAGCAAGTCTCTACTTTTGTTCTTTTTTTTTAACAATTTGCTTCCAATGGCAAAACGCACAATTTTGCTACCGCACGTTTGCAAACTGGCCGGTCACTACACTGGACACTAGCAACGCGTGTTATATTGTCTAGATCATTATGCAGTTCGATCACGCGCCTAATTTTCCATTTACACATTGTCCTCTTTGATAATAACTAAACTGCCGACCTTTAACAAATTTGGGAAATCGTTCTTCCATTATTCTCGCATTTGAAATTCGGAAATATATTCCTTGTTCTACTTTCTTTTCCAAAACTGCTGAACCATCTTTGTAAATGTTTGAATTTCCGAAGACAATTTTCGGCAACACTGGGGTAATCTTGTTCAGCTGCCCGATTCTGTTTTACGAGTCGAGTCGAAATTCGTATCGAATTGTCAAAATAGCTATTCTGTTTTTCGCTTTTTCAATACGTTTTAAGGCCGGGACACATCTATCATACATTCTTCCGATCCGACTCCGATCATACAATCAAGGTCCTTATTCTTGGAACCGGGGAGCAACGGAACACTCGTTCTCCTAGGAACGCTGCTCCCTGTTTCAAGAATAGGAACCCCGATTGTATGATCGGAGTCGGATCGGAAGAATGCATGATAGATGTGTCCCGGGCTTTATACGGTACGTCCGGAGCTGTCGTATTCGATATCGAGACAATTCGACTCGACTCGTAAAATAGAATCCGGAGTCAGGAATATATATGAGCGATTTTCCTATTAGAAAATGAGTTGGGGAGAGTGGGATCATATCTTGTGGATCCGATGGCAACGGAGTCAATGGTCTAGAGTTTATCACTCCTTCTATTTGAGTTAGAACCGTGCTAAGATCCTCGTAAGTAAGGCTAGCGTCACCCAAAACACGTTTAAGATGATATTTGATACTTTTCACGCCAGCCTCCCACAAACCTCCAAAATTTGACGCTCTACGTGGCATAAAATGCCATGAAATGCCTTCGGCTGATAATTCTGAGACGACCTTATCAAAGTTAAATTGAAAAAAATTGCGGAGGATAGAGTTAGCACCCACAAAAGTAGTCCCATTATCAGAGTAGATAAAATGTGTTTTTTTTCAAAAGATAAAAGTCAAAATGACATCAATGACATTATGTTGGCAATACAATGTAAAATTGTCAATGCTTTCAAATTTTTTATGTAGAAAAGGCTTGTGTTGCCAACATAGTTACTAAATTTTTGACTTGGGGAATTATCTTTAAAAAAAAAACAGACTTTATGTAGGGGCTTGCCTCTTCTCCCAAAAAATCTTTTGAGAATCGCAAGAAAGGCTTGACTGTTCAAGTCACTGACAACTTCTAAGTGAACGCACTTGGTGTTCATACACACAAAAATACAAATATGTATAACCTTTTAGAATCTTAGGATTTCTGCATTTTCTATCTATGATAGACAGAAGACCCGCATAATCAGCTCCAGTATTTGTAAAAATTGGTTGATAACCAGAGAGTCGGTACTCGGGCAAATTACCCATCGAATAATTAACTGAAGTTGGTTTGGATTTATA